ATTTCTTTCTTTTTTTAATCATGAAATTTATTTATATCTGAGCAGAAAAATGAACTGTAAGAAGGTTCGCCTTTTTATCCAAACTCATCCTCCTGAATGTTAACATTCATTTAGCACGCATACTTTTCATTGTGTATTTGCAGGAATTTGCTCATGAGATAAGAAGTAAGTGTGACATTTGAAGAACCCTGAACTGAATATCTCATGTGCATTCCAGAACTTTCTTGTAAGTTAATCAAATATTATACATTACATTTTATACTTAAGTAAATTATATAAAATGATAGAATATTTGTATGTATATAGCTGTGCGCACATTTATAATATGCACGCACGTATGCATACAATGCACATGCATTGTGTATGCGCGTGTGTGTGGTTGTCACTAGTGAGTATCAATGTGCAATTCAGTTTTTTTTTATAAATTGATGGGAACAATAAAAAAAAATGCGCGTGAATATACGTTTTATGAGAAATTTTTTATATTATTATTTTACTTGTGTGTTGTTTGTGAAAAATTATTTATGATTTTTGTCTTTTTATTGAATATATTATTCTAATTTAAATACATTTAACACTATAAACCTTTTAGTTTTAACTGGACAAAGAAATAAATTTATTATTTTATGTAATTACCTGACACTAATTAAGACAGACAGGAAGCTTATGACCGTTAGATAGATAGATAGATAGATAGATAGATAGATAGATAGATAGATAGATAGATAGATTTAATCATGCATACATACAAACATAAATACATACATACATGCAGGCATGCAAATGTATCTATTGCAATTTTATAAGTGCGCAGTGTACTAATTGGCATGGGGTTAGGAAGACTCAGAGTGTGCTGCAATAATCTTCCAAGCACAGGGGCGTGCATGAGCCGAGAAGCAAATTTTGCAATTCTGGCTTTCTTTCACGTCGGCTCGAATACGATCACAAACAACGAAGCATTCTTAGAGTGGATGCAAATTTACAACCAACCGTTTCAGCCACCATGTGAAGACGCACTCTTTTCTTATGTGCGTGCACCTACAAGCACGTTTTACTTTTTACTTTTTTAGTTAGTGCATTTATTTTTATGTCTAGCTACACCATTTAGTGTACAAGTTTTTAAAGCAAAACAAGATTCACTTGCTGAGATTAAAATAAAAACTATCTAATGCCGAATTTAAGCAATGTCAAACTTGGTTAGTATAATAAATAGGTAACTGCATAGGAATATCAAATAATGCAAGTGCTGGAGCAGCTTATAGCCTTGTGCCAGACCATGCAATTCTTAAATAAAGAGGAAATAGAAAAAGAAAACAGCCCACAGCGCGCGTGCTATGTAACCGCGCATGCGTATTGCGGACGCCAAGAAGTCGTATATAAATGGAGCAACTGGCAACAGCTCCCCTTTAGTTAGCGGTTAGCAGTCGTTAGGCTGAGATCATGTATGCACGGCTGCAGTGCAATCCATTTGGACCTGTTCATCTCGTATATCAATATTGTCTTAGTAGCTCCCGTTGCTACCATTTCAAACTAAAATATAATGAATAATACTACTTATTACCATTAGTAGTTGAAGAAGAAATATTACTGTTGGGAGTTGAAGAAAAAAAAATATTGGACTTTTTTTTCATCTATCTACTTAATGTGGTACGTGCGGTTTTTTTTGTGATTTCTTTATTCTCACATAAGGTGAAAAAAAAAACAAGCAAGTTCGGATTTGTTTCTCTTATTGAAAAAAAAAACATTTCTGCTTTCTTCGAAGTTGTTGATTTGTGAATTCTCATTTTTGGACTACAAATTAAGAAGTTAACGACGGCTGTGTTTATTGCTGATGGTAAGTAAAAAAAAAAAAAAAAAAACAGTTTTTCATTGATTTGAAAAAAAATCTTTACCAATTTTTCTTAAATTATTGAATCATTTGTTTTTCAATTTATTTGTAATTTAGCATGGTGATGATTGAAAAATCACAAACTTGTTTGTCTTTAAAAAATCAATTTTTAGCGGATGAGCTTTTTTTAAAATTTAATTTTAATTTGTTTTTTCTTTTTTCTCAAGTTAGAAAGTTTTTCATTCATCTTTTATTTAAAAACAAATTTTTGTAAATCTTTTTTTTTATTTTTCAATGAAAACGTTTTATGATTTAAAAAATTATTCTGAAAAAAATTGTTTGGTTTTACTTCACTCTTTTAAGTTGTAGCAAACAAAATAATTGTATTTCTCAGATCAACAATTTTTTCGTTAAATTATTTTAATTTTCCTTTAGTATTGTGAAAGTTTTTTTTTATTCATTCCAATTAATCTCCAACTAAATGAAGATACATTCTTTCTTTTTTTTTGTATTTATTATTTATGTAGAAATAATAAATTTTAATTTGTAGACATGAATGATGAATGTAATTGTAATAATAATTATTACATCCATGTCTACAAATTAATAAAATTATTATTAGATAATTTCAACTTATTTTCTTGCATTTTTACCCTACAAAATTGAAAAATAATTTTTTTAAATGAGGTTAAATGACCATGTTTTAGTTTGTTTTTTTTTAAGAATTATTTTCTAAATGTAACTTGTTTACATTTATGAAGTCTATGAAAAATTCGTTTGTTAAAAAAAAAAAGTGCCATTCGCGCGATTTTTTTTTTTTTGTGTGTGTGAGATGTTTTAAGTTGGAATGAGATTATTTTGAAAAACAAAGTTACGCATATTAATTTCTTTAAAAAAAAATAGAATAAAAAATCGAACTTAAAGGAAACTTATCCGATAAAGCAAAAAATGAAAAAAAAATTTTTTTTTTTTTAAATTTTAAAATTTTTTACTCATCTTTTAATTCAAAAGACTCATTTTTTTGGTTGTTTTTACAACGAATCAGAAAAAAATGGCTTTCTTTTCTTGTATCAAATGAACTAATAAATTACCGGCTTTAAAATGAGTTGTTACTTAAAAGTTTTAACAACTCATTTTAAAGCCGGTAATTTCATTTCGTTTTAAGTTAAAACGAAATGATGATTCGTTTTTCAAAGACAAGAAGACTAAGAGTTTAATTTGCATGAACTCTCAACAATTACTTATCTGCAAATAAAATCACACAAAAATAAAGATCAATTGAAAATTGAACATTTGAGATTTTGAAGTGAATTTTTCTTGTCTGGCATTAAAAAAAATTGTCTTTGATTTGTTAAAGATGTTTTTAAGTTTAGTTAGTAGTGTTTTGTTTTTTTTCCACCCTCCAGCCTGCAAAGTTTCCGAAGTTTCGATAATCGCTGTTAGACTGATTAAAAAAAATTATTGTCCTTTTTTTTTTCTTGTAAATTAAATCCTTCATGTAAAAAAAAACATTTGGTAAAAGGCCATATTCATTTAGAGAGCGAGAAAAAAAATTACACCAAAATAAAAAAATATTTTCTTTTCTTCTCAATATGATGAAATGAAAATTGAAAATTAATCATGTGGATTGCATATACAAATTTTTTTTTAAAAATTGGCAATTCAGGATAATTAATCGGCATTACCCCGGTATTAAAGGATGCCTCGGCCTTAATAATGGTCACTGTGTTTGATTGATCATTAAGTACACTGAGTGATTGCGATCCTCGCTTGGTATCTCATAGGTTGTGACCCTGTATATAATATCACACCAATATTAAAGTTTAAGAAAGTGTTACTATTGTGTTTAAAGTAAAGATTAAAATTAAAAAGTTTGTTTTTTATAAAAAGAAATGCCCCACTCTTCAGCAATTTCAGAGTTCACTTTCAAAGAAAACTAAAAAAAAACTTGCATTGAATGAACGCTCCCCAATTATTTATTACTTTTTCAAATAAAAAGTAATTTAAGGGTGCTAAACCTTAATAATTCGTTTGTGTCCCAAAAAAGAAATAAAGATGTTGATGGTTGCAATTAATAAATATTATAAAATCCTTCATTTTGATTATAATTTTAGGCATAAAAAGTTGATCCAGAATCTATTCAACTGCATGTTGTAACCGATATTAAAAAAAAAAAAAAAAATCCCGTCCAGTTCCTAAAAACATTGTAAAACATTTTTTTTTGTTTTCTTGTTTATGTATCTCACTTAGGAAAATAATATTGTTGCTAACTAACTAGTGCGTGTATTTTTATCAAATATAAAATTACTTTTTATTAAAAAAAAAAAAAATCAAAACATTGTACAAATTAGAGTTGTTAAGTTTACGCCTCTTCAAAATTGACTCCACTCTCAAAGTTAATGAAACCGAATTGAACGAAACCATCTCTTGGAATACAAACAGGTGTTTTTACAGTTTTTAGAACAACATGGATTTGACATTTTTATTTGCAAGAATAGAATTGTAACCAATGGCAAAAAATTGAAAAGAAAATTAGCGCGTTGAAATGGTGCAAACAAAATATTGATAAAATTGTAAATAAAGTGAAACTAATGAAACGATTCAGTTAATTTATTTCTTTTCGATAGTGAAATTTTAAAGATTTTTTTTAACTATAATGAAGAAAATAGAGAACACTTTAAAAAAATCTGCTACAGCTACACAAATCCGATTGAATCAGTTTTTGTAAAAAAAAAAAATAATAATAATAATAAAGTCTTTTTAAATACAATTGAAATATGTTATTTTCATAAGAACTAAATTCTTTACACAAGCACACAAACACATATCAAACAAAAGTGTTAAAAATATTTGATTTTGAACTGCCGGCAAAAAAAAAGTCATTACAACGTGAGGGGACTGTCGAAACATTTTTTAGCATCAGGTTTCTTTTTCTAATTTTTTAGTCAATTAATTTCATTAAATTGTTTTTACTTTTAATTTAAAATTTTGTTGATTGAGAAAAATTGATTAACAGTTTAACTGCACCTTGTACTATTTGCACAAATACTTAGTTGGACTTGGTTCCTTGAGTTGAAAAAAAAATTATTAGATAGAGATGGTGCTGAAGGCTTCTAAGCCCGACAAAAGTGAAATAAAAATAAAAAAAATAAGCAGATTTTGGGAAGTGGGTTAGGTTGAGAACTTTTCAGCACTTCCTCATAGTAAAATGCTAGTCCTAAACTAAAAACACAACATTCATGATTCTTCTTTTTTTTTTCTTTTTTTTCAAATTTTCAATATTAAATGCTAGTTTCCATGGTTTCACGCATAAAGTAACGTAACGACTAAATAAAACATGTCCTAACAAGATTTGAATCCTTCTACTCAAGTGATTCAATCTTATCTGTTGTGATCTACCTTCTTGCACTTTAGCTTGTCATAAAGAACCAGAAGAAATTGCCCTTGTTCAGTCACTTACAGATTACTTCACGTATCTGTCTCAACTTGATTTCTCTTGACACATCCCAAACAAGTTACATACGATTTCTGCTGCTCAGGTGTTGTCGCACGCACTATATATAATCTTGTTTTCACATGAAAGAATAACATTGAATTGAATCAAATTTTTCATTTAAGCTATAAATTAACAATTTTGAGGAAAAGAAAAAAAATACTATTAGAAAAAAAAATTAGTAAATAACTTTTAGTGAAAATAAAAAGTTATTCGCATTTTCTGATGTTTTCCACAAAATTTGTTTTTATTTTGAAAGGTTCTGTTATCTCAGGACATCTGAAGGGAGAAATTGATTTCTTTTGTTCACGTTTTGAAATAATTTTCTTGAAAAAAAAAGATAAAGATCAAATCTTTTAAATAAATAAAAACTTCATAATTCTTTAAATGGAAAAGAATTCATAAGTCACATAAAAGAAAAATAAATTTTTTTTATCAATATTTTTTTATAAATAACAATATTAGCAAAGTAAAGTCTTACTTTATTGACTGTCTACAAGTATTTTACAAAGTTAATGCAGACCAATGTGTAGTTTTGAGCAAATCAATTAATTTACAAATGCTTATTGACTTATTTTTAAACATTACAATGTGCTAAGATTTTTACTTTTTTCCTCTGTATATAAGAAAGTTGTTGCTATTGAAACTCAACAGTTTTAAAGCTTTTTTGGTATCTTTTTTTTAAAAGAAACATTGCTGAATCAATTTAGACAAATATTTTCTTTCTTTAACTTAACATTTTTTAACTTCTTTCATAGAATACTTATTATTCAAAGGTTTTATCTAAAAAGTTAAAAAAAAAATAATGTAGCCCCTTTGTACGATTCACACCTTTTTAATTCAAATAATTTAAAATCATTTTCATTTTTTAATGAATTTTAATAATCTTGTATTGCATTTATAATTAAAGTGAAATTGCAAAGTATAAATTATTTTAATATAACATTTGTAATGATTGTATAAAAAAAAGGATCAACAAAAAAGATTTATTACAATTCTCCTTTGTCATACTGAGAATTAATAAATTAAGCTGCTTTATAAAGGATTAATTCAAAAATAGCTGTAGATTTACTTTTATCTGAACATACTGCATTTCCTGGTACTCTTCTTGATTGAGCAAGTTTATTTAAAAGAAGTGGAATGATTATCTTTTTCTTTTTAAAGTTATTTAGGATTTCACAGATTCAGATTTTTATTCAATAGTTCCTCTTCTAAACTTTTACTAGATTCTAGAAAATGAATACAAACAAAAGCGTGTTGTTAACTGTATTTGTTTTATTTTTAAACTTGGGAGTGGGAATATTTGTATAGCTTCTGATATTTACCCTTGAAAAATATAAATTAAATTCTGTAATTATAGTTCAATAAAATTTCTTGCTTGAAGTTTAATTTGATTTACATGAATTGATTTTTCTTCATAGATATTCTCAGAGAATCAAACTACAAACTTGCAAAATTATTTTAGGTATTTCAAAAAACAATTTAAATGTAAAATGTCTAACAATTTCGAAGTCAGATATAAATTCAGCCCTTTTGTCTCTTGGCTTTTTAATGTTTGAAACTTTCCACTGCTCAAAGGAAGAAAAATAAACTTTTATTTAAATCAATGTATATTTTGTCTGTATTTCCCAACAATCAATTCTTACACTTTTCTCTTTTGTTTATTTGTAGATAAGTCTTATGATGAATTACCTAATTGTCTTCATTCTGGCCCTGTCTGTTGTGGCAGTGACCCATGCTGGATACAGTGTTTGCCCTCAAAACACCTATTGGAGCTCCTCAGAAAATAAGTGTGTCAACTGCTCTTATTGTCCAGTCAATGAAATCATTAGAAAACCTTGTAGCGCATTTGAGGATATTCGTTGTGGACCATTCATAGAATTCAACAATTTCTTACAAGGTGAGAAACGCCGCCAAAACCACAGTGATGGTGGTCATCATCCGAGACATGGTTTGGGCAAGCCTTTCCATCACAACAGTGATGAATATAACACCAAGATAAGCAAACGACCGGACCTGGCAATAAGTCAAGATGTTAATCCATGGAGAACAATAGCACTTTCACTTATTGGTATAATTTGTACAAGTGTTGTCTTGTTGCTGGCTGTTGTGATCTTTATTCATTATTTTAAAAAACAAAACCCTGGATATGACAAGGAAGTCATTTATGACACAAATGGTAAGTAAACAATGAAACTTCTTGATAGCAATTTATCAATATTAAAAATCCTTTGCTTTTTAGCAAAGGTTTTACAATTGCAAGACATTTTTCACATTTTTAGATGTATTTTTTTAGAGATTTGTAAGATTTGTTACATTATTTTAAACTTAATTTCCATTGTTATCTTTTTCTTTTTTCTTAACAAAGTTAAGACACTCATTCAACTTTGTTTATTGAAAACTGTAAAATTATGTTCAAAATATTGTACTTTTATACATTTTTTGAGAAAACTTTTTAAACATTTGCTTATGCATAATTCCATGATAACATGGACCCATAAATTTTCAAGTTAAAAATAAAAGCCTTTTTCATATTTATACTATACTCTTTTCTCTCTGCAAATTATATATCATAAAGCCACTATGATGAAGTTATTGATTTTGTCAAATATCAAAGAGGATAATTTTAATTGTTTAACTAATTAAAATATGATCTCTGGTATCTTTGCCACCTTCACTTTCCATTGGTATTGTTAAAATCTATTGACTCCTGAATTGAAACTTAAATGTGACTTAAATTTGCAGATAAAGCTGCATTGTAGGGTGTGAAAGAGTTGTGTTAGTTTATTCTGAAAACTTAAATATTTAAGTTGATATTGACTAGATAAAGAGGTTTCTATACAAGAAACTTCTTTTTTACATAGTGCTAGTGTTTAGTTCTTTATTTGTAACTTCTTATTTTATCAGCCAAGAATATTAGGTTTAATTTGGCATTTGTTTGCATTCAAATTAATTCTACTTTAAATAGTTGATAAATGAGACATTGTGAGTTGTCATGTTAATATACTGGACCTAGATTTTCTTTACTTGCATCTGTATAAAAGAAAGTTTACCCGAAATTCTTCATTTTTTAAATTCCTCTATTTTCTAACATTTGAAAATGTGGTCAGGCAAGGAATAAATATGGCACCTTTTGGGATTTTGTTTCGTGCTTGTTATAAACAGCTTCAAAAAAAAAAAATGTGCAAGTTAGATCAACAGTGGGTGTGTGTAGCTTCTTTTTAAGAATAAGTATGAGATGTCCATGGGAATAAAATGGCCCAGTGTGTGTATGTATAGGAACCTTTCAATGGATACAAGTTGAAAGAGATTAATAGTGTAAAAGATATTGTTAGGTAGCAAATAAAATAGGAAAATGTCTAGGAAGAAGAAATTGAGACTGTTCTTTTCTACTAGTGGACTGAAGAGTTTGCTTAAATCAATAGACTTTGTGCTACAAATCCTGTAGCTGACTCTGAACATATGTGATGCATGTTATATATACGCACACACATTTGTGCAAATGTGTGTGTGATTATGTTTCAATTACTTGGAAGTTAGCATGGCTTTTAAGTCAGGTGCTGGTTCTTTCAGATTAGTATAAAAAAAGCTTACTACAGCTTCAAGTCAAGTTATATCACCCACTTTTCATGGGTATTAATTTTATACTTGTAGAATCAAATGAGGACTTTGTGGCATATGACAAAGATTTTTTTCTCTTAAATTTTGCTACTTTGTATTTTTATTTGCATGGAATTAATAAATTATTTTTAAGCTCCAATTGAAATTGCTGTTTGCTTTAGTAATTCACATTTTGTTGTTTGTACCAGCTACCTATGGTTACTATGATAGCCTCTAACTAATTATTACTTTGAAAAATGTTGCCTTTTACCTTTGCTTTGTCTAGAAATACTTTAAACTTAAATATAAAATTTAAAAAAAACTGAATTTTAGCTTAGAAAAATGTTTAGCTTTCATTTATGACTGAAAATTAAGCCAGTTTTTAATAATCTCTTTTTTTGGGGGGGTTTGTAATAAAAAGCACTTGAACTATAAAATTGTTCTTAATATACACCATCTTGACAGAAACGATGACATGCAATGGAACAGATCACAGGGAAATGAAAACTGACATCCTTCAAAACTATTCAACATTACTTTTACAAATATCCTATTTGTACCTATTTACTGTGGTCCAATATCAGTTCTTACTAGTTTATACAATACACAATAGAATGGATCTTCTTTTTTTTTGCCACTGGCAGAAAATGTGTAACAAGTATCTGTGACAAGTATGTAAAGTACTTGTAAAATTCATGTATCTGCTAAAAGATATGTTTTAGATATTTTATTGGGCAAGATAAACAGGTTTTCTTATGCTTTAAGATTCAATGAGAAATGGACTTTCCAGTGGTTTGTAAGGCATGTCATAAACTAGTGCTTTTTCAACTAGTATTCAACATGTTACAGAAAATTTAATTACATAGTTAATCATTTAAGTCCCACTAAAAAATGTTGTTTTTGCTTGAGAAACTGAAATGTATCAATGGAACCATGTGAAGTTTCTAAGTATTTTATGACTGGTATGAATTTAGTTTCCAACCTGTTAAAATTAGTTGTGTGTGTGTGTGTGTGTGTCCCCACCATGACCGCCACTTGTGTTATGGATCTTTTTGTTTTCATTTATAAACAACATAATGTACCAATAATGATAACGAAATTTTATATGAAACAAAAATAAATTAAAGTTTCTAATTTTTTTTTTTTTTTTAAAGCTAGTTTCTCTTTGTGGGTGAACTTGCAATGTGCGATGCTTTAGTTACCATCTTGTAGATTTAACATTCTTACATAATTTCTATTGTGCAATAATTGAAATCCAAATTAAAATTGGTTGTGTGTGAATCAGCTGCACAGCTGCCTAATAAACCTGAAAATTCCAAAATAAAGTTTTATCTTTTATATTCTGTTAGTCAAATGTGATATAAAGAAGAAAACAAACATTGATACTTCAGAATCTGTCTTCATCTTTAAGTGTTACTGAATGTAAATGTCTTTAAGATCTCTAAGACAAATTTCCAACAGTCATAATTCTGAAAAATATTAGTAATTGCTCTTGTTTATTTTTATTATGCACAATGTTAATGTTTGGTGTTCTGGTTGCTAATGAACTGGTCTTGTACAGACAGCCTATTGCTTTTATACTGAATTTCATATTAACTCTTCATTCGGTGTTAGTCTTAGACTTTGTAACGTCTCCCTGAATAATTCAACCAAGAAAATTAGCCAGATTGCAATGGCCTTTTTAAGTTTTCTTCATGAGCTATTTCCCCCTTATAGTCCCACTTTTTTTTTTATAAAACACTTAAGATGTTGTCAAAAAGTCTTGACTTTTTCAACACACTCACTGATCATCGATAATTTTGTTGTTAGTAAATTTAATTGTTAAAAATATGTACCAGAAGTCCGAAAATTAAAATAATCAGAATTAAGTTTACTGTTTCTGAAATGATTTTCTCTTGACTGGAAAATCTTGTTGAGAGACAATTGTGATTTTTACACTTACTACTAGTACTCTTCTTTTCCACGTTTTTTTTTTTTTTTTTTTTTTTTTTTTTTTTTTTTTTTTTGCCTCCTCCAACCCAACTTTAAAAAAACGCAAAAAAAAAACTCTTGGTCCTGCCATTTTCTAACCACCCGGACACTGTATCTTTTTCTTTTGTCCAAACAGAGGTAGGGATGGGGGTACTTATTTCTCCTCCTCACACCATTGCCCTTGCTACCCTCTTTCTTGATGATTAGCTAATTTCCAGTCCTTTTTTTTTTTTTTTTTTATGTGAAGATTACACTTGAATTTTTCACACCAGTCTACCCGGTTTCCACCCCACCTATCTCTCATTTCCCCCATCAGGCTGCATTAAATAAAAATAACCACATGTGTGTTTGTGTTAAGTGAAATGAATGAAAGAAAACTTGAGTGTATATGCTTGGTGGGTGAGTTGGGGGATGGCAAGGTGTTGGTTGTTTCTTTGAGTTGGCAGGAATCAATCTTTTTATTTAAAAAAAAAAAAAAAAAAGCCAGCGAGAATTTCCTTTTCTCTCTCTTTTTTTTACTGAATAGATTTCCTTTCTGTCGTTGAATGAATTGATTATATCTTGCATCTTCTTTCACTCTCGACATCCTGTGCCGGTGGTTAGCCAAGAATACACATGCAGACATTCTTCTTACCTTTCTTTCAGAAAAATAAACACATGCACTTACTCACAGTCAGGACAATTGTTACCGACAATATATAGAATAGATTGGGCGAAATAGTTAAGCTTCTTTCTGCCCGTACGTAGAAGTTTGTTTGTTTGTTTTTTGGTTAGTTGCTGTTCCTCTTTCTTTATCTGTCCGTCTCCCTGAATAATTCAACCAGGAAAATTAGCTCATGTCAAGGGGATGTGGAGATTCACGACGTTCCCCACACCACAAAAACCATTACCCTTTTGTCTTTTTCTTTCTTTACGAGACTTTGTTGACATTCGGGCTACGATACAATTTTTCCTCTCTTCGCATTTAATTTTAAATGACTGGGACTTTTTTTTTTTTTTTTGTAGACTTTATCACTACTATTGCATTATTTTTTTTTTTTTAAGTTGTGTAGTAGTACACCATTGAATACTACGTAAAAATTGTTCAACATCTGGAATAGAACCATAATGGGGAAAAAAAAGCAAACTAAACTAAAAGCTGCATGGAGCTGTCAATTTCATATACACCATAAGTAATGTAATGAATGACGTTAAATTATTCTTCTTGGCAAATTTATTGTCAGTTGCAATAAAATTAATTTCAATGAAGGAATTTTTTTTCCTTTGTCTAACACGGCAGTAAATAACTTTTAAAATGGAAAAATATTCAATCTCATTTCATTAAAGTTAGCTTCGTCTCACACGAAATGGCGTGTGTTACAATACAACCAGTGAGGATCGTAATTGTTTAAATGCTTCGATAGGGCAATTTGTTAACCATTTATAAGGCCTAGTGAGGCACTGACTTTTTACGGACTTCGGAATTGTTGAAGTGTGCCGAGTAATAGCGACTTTAAATTTCGCAAACTTAATTATTAGTAGTTCTGTCTTTACTCATTTCTGGGTGCACAAATATTGTGGTGCTGTGCCAGAATTATTTTTTTTTATAAACATGCATATTGATACCAT